AATCGGTAACGATTGTGTCTTGGTTAGCCTGTTTGTGCGTGTCGAATTCAAGCTCCTAGCTGCGGTGGTATGCTCGACTAGTTTTTACCACAGAAGATTTTTGTAGGGAAAAATTGCCAGCCCGTCAGCGGTGTGACAACGCGAATGATCTGTTTTTTTTTGTCAAATGGGAAAATGAGCGGTCAGTCGCAATGGCCTTCGTCTTACAGGTCACACGTCTACCACAGTGATCTTTGTTTTTTGAAGAATTCACGCGGCAATCGTTGAAATTGTGTTGCGTTTACTGTTTGAGAGAATGAAACGTACTGAGTTTCTGTTGGACACTATTTCTTCTACCCAACCGAATAAGTGCTGTAAGTTGGTACGTGAGCCGAGGAAAACAAATTACTTCTGCGGTTTACTTTTATTTTGTATGTAGATTCCAATTTCCAATGGGTTGGACACGTTGACTTCTAGGCAGCATTGGTAGATTTATTAAAAAAACCAGGTTATCTTAGGATAAATAATTTAAAAAGTAAATTTTCTGGAATATAAGCCGGTAGTTTCAAGCAGCTTTCTTTGTAATCAGACCATGTTAATGACAGACTGGAGAAAATCAATACTCGACGCTCGCATTCATTTGGGTATATCACTGACCAATGCTAAGCCTTCGATTCGTTTACCTCACGTCCTCAGTCATAATATTGTATAAGAGTTTGTGTCTACTAGTTCGAATTAAGTAACGGTTTGTTTATAATGAAAGCTTAATTAGTCTTTCGGGTCAAGCGAAAGCTGCACACACCAGAGGGTGCCCTCAATATATCCACAGCATTGTTATTGCAACCACCTTCCCACAGAGTGTGGCTTATTGCTCTTTTGAATGGATGCAATTTTGACCAAAGCTTGAACCCAGAAACTATTTTCAGGGCGATCTGCCGTCAATTCGACTAGTTGCAGCTGATATGTTTGTCTTCCTCTATTGGTCACTGTTCTTTTTCTCCTTTCATCTAAGAGCTTGCTACTTTGCTGAGCCATAAGAATCTCAAAGTCGTCCCCGTCTGTCCTTGATTGACCACGTTTGATGAACTCTTACCGCAGCTTGTTCCTCACCGCTCTCTGCGTGCGCAGGGAGCGGCAAAGGTTGTGAAGAACCCGAACCCAAGTTTAAGTCGCTGACATGCAATTTTAAATCAAGCTTTTTACTAGATATCTTTGGTACAGTGTTTGATGCCATATGAGTGGCGTTAAGTGATCTTTCTGGTTCGCATGGCGGAACACATTTATTTCAGTTTTTCCCGTGAATTCACTGCTGGCAGTCTCAGCATGGCGCAATTAGCAATCTGCAATCACTACCACCATAGATGGAGCCCCTAATTCAGCGACAGACTTTCCGACTTTATGGTTGGTGAGCAAAATCTTTCGTTTGCACCGCTGATATTCACTGATGAAGGTGGAGTCAACAATGGCTGATGACGGTAAATAAGCCGGAAACATGCATTCCAGGATTTCCTGTTTTGATTGTGAGCTCTGAGGAATTTCTTGCAGGTTATATTACGGCAGACAAGAAAATAGGTAACTACATAGTCATGAATGCGTTCGCTACTACACGAAAATGAACGTCTGCCTGCTCAATTCACATCAGATACTTTACCGTAGCTGTATCTGCGAGCTGGAGGTATTCGTCCACACTCTTTCTTGACTCTTAAGAAGGATTTATTTTCAGTTTTAGATGTCAGAAACCACGGGGCCTATTTTAGATTTGCTGACATGCCTAAAGCACTCTTTAATAAAAAAACGTGGTTATCAGTTAACGACGTTGAAGTGACACTAGTAACCATGAAAATAAACACTAGATGAAACTAGAAATAGCCCGTTTGGCGTCTCGGATGATTTAAGCCTTTCATAGCGCTGAGCTATCGTCATCTATAATGCCATTCGTGGCTAACGTAATGATGTGGGTGCGTAGTTGCATAATTATAAAAAAGGTTAAATGTAATGAGAGGATGAGTTACGTCAAGAGAGTGAGCCGCCTGGAGGGGAGGTGACGCTGAAATACCGTGCAGGAAAGGGCCGTAGAGATGCCGATTTAGTATGCGAAAAGAGGGTTGCAGGGGAGGGGATTGGCGATAAAGCGGTAAGAGCACCGGCTATTTACATCGACACGCAGTTACACCAGATTCGCGCGAAAAGCAAATCCAACCCATTAAAACAACTCAATGCAAGCTCTAGTCAATTACATATGCAAACCTGCGGTAACAAACAACCGGTCAAACCCTATCGCTATACATCTTCTTATCAACATACACAGCACACAAGACCGTCTCTCATCACCCACTACAAACACAGAATCGACACCTCTCATGTTAGGGAGAATCTTTCTTCCTGTAGCCTCCATGGTACTCTTACGCATGTTAGCTCCGAGAAGTCTATTCCCTTTGTGTAAACATCTAATGAGTTGGGCTGGGACATGTCGTGGATGGCACGCACACATCGGGCTGTATGGCTCTTTTAGTCACTTGTTCCTCTGTCTCCCAGAAGGAGTGGATATA